AACGGTGGATGTCACTTCAGATAGTTTCCTCGTTAGCAACGACACATTACAGACCGTGACAGATTTTGTTGATATGTGATCGAGTACCAAATATCAATAGTGTCTCGTTCTAATATATGAACAATTTACTTATTGTATTTCACAAAAGATTGAGGATGAAATGTTTTCCAAATATATAGAATAATACAATCGCCCTGTGATTAGTAACAGGAGCTACATCGTATTTCAAATTTTAATTCTGCTAGCATTGTGCTAAAAGTTGTTTTTATTTTTATGTTGAAATATTGAATTGAAGAATTTACTTTTCATCTGTAGATTTGTCCATTGGTAAAAGGAGTTGGTTGGGCAACACTATTAATTAATTTTATGATGGCTATGTTTTACAATACCATAATCTCCTGGGCCGTTTTTTATTTAGTCAAGTCATTTAATAGTATCGGATCTGAATTACCATGGAAACATTGTGGTCATTCGTGGAATACGGCATGTTGTGTAGCAGCTGATATAACAGAATATGAAAACAAGGTAGAATCAGCTAATATTACAAAACAATTATTCAATAAAACAACGATTAATACAACACCATTAACGACAAAATCAATGGAATATTGTAATCGATCTGTTTATTCAACTGAAGAATATTTTTAGTAAATTTTTGATTAGATTTTTTCTGGATAAAAAAAAATTTTATTTTTATTTTTTTTTAAGTCGACGACTTCAAGAAGTAGATAAAGCTGATGGATTTAATAATTTAGGAAAAATTAAATGGGAACTTGCTCTATATCTACTTATTGTCTTTGTTATTGTGTATTTTGCACTTTGGAAAGGAATTAAAAGTTCTGGAAAAGTAATTTTATATTAATTAATACATAAAGATATTTCTCATTTCATTTTTTGTCGTTGTTTTTTTTAGGCCGTATGGATTACTGCTATAGCACCATATATTGTTCTGATTATATTATTAATTCGTGGTATTACTCTATCAGGTGCATCAATTGGAATTGAATTTTATCTGAAACCTAAAATAGAATTATTAAAAAGTTTTACTGTAAAATTTAACTGATCATTGTCAAATCACTATTATGTTGCATTTTATTTATAGATTTGGAATGCCGCAGCGACACAAATATTTTTTTCACTTGGACCAGGTTTTGGTGTCCTATTAGCTTTATCATCATATAATAAATTTCATAATAATTGCTATCGGTAAAAGAATCTTATTTCTCTTTTTTTTCACTATGATATATCATTATGTTGTTTCAGAGATGCATTAATAACTAGTACAATTAATTGTGCAACATCACTTCTAGCTGGTTTTGTTGTCTTTTCAACACTTGGTCATATGGCTAGTGTATCACGCAAAACCATTCAAGAAGTTATTGAAGATCAAGGTAAATTTAAAATATTTATGAAATTTGAATAAATTATTTCTTGAAATGTTAGGTTCGGAGCTTGTCTTTATTGTTTATCCACATACAATTGCACTAATGAAGTGGTCATCATTATGGTCGATTCTTTTCTTTTTTATGTTAATCACTTTAGGCATTGATAGTACAGTGAGTGTTTTGATGTGTTTTTTAATGTTGGAATAATTATTTTATGGAATTTAGTTTGGTGGTCTTGAATCAATTATTACTGGTTTATGTGATGAGTTTCCGAATATACTTGGACGTCATCGGTCTTTAGTTGTATTAGGTGTTCTTGTCATATGCTATTTAGGTGCATTACCAACATGTACGTATAGTGGTGATTATATTGTTAATTTAATGAATGAAATAGTTGTTGCTCCTGCTATTCTCCTTGTCGTATTCATTGAATGTATTGCTGTTTCATGGTTTTATGGTAAAAATTAATTATTAAAATACATTAGTCATTGAAATTTTTTTTTCTTGAAAATTTATTTAGGTGTTAATCGACTTGCAAATGATATTAAAGCAATGATTGGCGCAAGACCATCTTTATTTTGGCGTTCAATTTGGTATCTTATTAGTCCAATATTTTTACTCGTAAGTAATAATGTTAAGGCTATGAGTTACGTGATTCGTAAAAAATTATAGATTTCATCAGTAGAATTTTTTCTAGCCGTATATAAATAGGGTATAGGAGTAGGTTGAATGGGTTTTCATTTCATCCACATCTACATTCATACGTTCGTTTGATTGTCGTGCTCAGCTTCAGCGTTATAAACAGTCGCTTTTTTTCACTGTCTGTATGATATAGCAAATAAATAATTGCTCTACATTAAGGTTCACGATGTCTAACTTTATTGTTATTTACATTTGTTTCATCTTTAAACTCTAAGCTGAAGTGAAAAGAAAGAATAGGAGCAAAGAGTACTTATATGTATATGTCGTAATAGCATCTCTACTATACGATAAAAGGAAATGACGAAAACAAATGAATCATACTATTGCGCATTTAAATTTTTGTACTTATGCATTGTTTTACGAGAGAAGTTCTTCAACTGATTAGTCGCTTTGAATTCTGAATCACGTGCATCACGTAGATCCAACTTAGCTTATAACAAGTTTTGTCACAGCTGCATCGTAGGATAGAAAAAACGGAAATATTTCAAAATTTCATAATAAACTGTTCTCAATAAGGCCTGTTTGTATGAAATTTTTAAATCCAAGTTCAAAAGCGAATTTGCTTAATGTTCCGCACAATAAACTATGGGTCGGAACTCTTTTTAGAGTATTTATAGCTTTTAAGAATCGACATGACTTTTTATTTGTTTTCTATGGTTAAGAATATTTTTTATATTAAAATATACAATAGATGATATTCTGTATTTCAATGGATAATTTACTCTTTGGTAATATTCGAATAAAACGATTAAGTTTACGAAATTTACCGACTATTGTTCAAGTATGGTCTTATCTTATGGTGTTTGTTCCTATACTATGCATTCCAGCTTATGCTATTTATAAATTAATAGTAACACCTGGAAAAGATTTTGATGAAGTAAATAAAATAATTTCGATTACGAATACTCTTCTTTTTTTTTTAAAAATATTTCGTTTGTTTTTTTTAGCGTCTTCAACGATCAATACAACCTGAAGAATCATTACATGAAAATATTCATTTTCGACCAAATGATGAACAACAAGAAGGAAATAAAATTGAAATTCTTTAATTCATTATCTTGATTTTACAATGTAAAAGAAAAACAGTAAAGAACTTTATTGTTCACTACTCTTTGGTAATGGTGTTTTTAATTGTTCATCGACAGACTGACCAAGAATCCGTGTACTTGCCGACCCTTTTTTGTTGTTGTTGTTTCGTAAAAAAAAATATTCGTAAAACAATTTTAATTAATAAATATTTTACCTCCTAGTAGTTCGGGACCACCTTGCCCACATATTTTACTTCCTTCTTCACCACCTAATCCAGCTTGAGGTCCAGCAACTTCTTTATTTTTAGTTACTTTTGGTTTACCAAGATGTTGTTCATTTTCTGCATAACCTATTCGATGATGAACATCATTAGGTAACTTTTTATGAGGCATATTTTATATTTTATGTTGTATTGTTTTGAAAGTACTTTATTTGACTCTTTTTGTCGTAAATTAAAAATGTGTGTAAGAATATATTCGTTGATGTGCGTATGAAAGAAAATGTCAGAGTAAAAATTGAGTAGAAGAAAAAAAGGAAAGAAGAAAATATACAATACAGAACTAATCTGACAAGTTCATTAGGTGCAAAAACTGATCTTATTTCAATCACATTCGTTGTAGATCATTTCGAATTTAATATTTGATCGATTAACAATATGTATTGTACTTTAATGTGATTGTACATATTTCAATGTATTATAGATTTCCATACAATGTCAAATAGCTTAGGAGGAAACCTAGCTAGATGTCTATTTCTGGTTTCAATGATTTTTTTGCCTATAGGTACTATTGGTACCTTTTTGTGTGAAATGAACTTGAAAAACTCATTAACTGCTATTTTTCTTGGATCACCTGTCCGATAGTATGCTGACTACGGTGTGACATACATCTGCACATGTGCTAGTATGTGGCTGGTTCATCTGTACGAGAAGTTCGAGCAGTTAAATACAAGAGCTAGTAATAGTTGTAGAAAAGATATGGAACTATTGAAACTGTCGCTTGGCAGCACCTCATACCGTACGGTAGCTGAAAAGATATAAATTTTTTTCCATCAATTGAGTTTACAACATATATTTTTTGCAAACTTCATGTTTCGAAGAGACTTTGTTCAAAATCTCTCCAATTTTTTCTAATAGAATTTTTACTGGAATACTATAGAATCTATAAGCAAAAACAATTATTGAAATCGAAATAAGGCATTCGAAAAAACTTCCTTACTAATTTACTAGAAAAAAGTTTATTAATACTGAATGACCATGACAGAGTGCACTTAAAGTTTCGTTTCGAATTTTTTTGACAATACGTCATCTCATTCTTTTTTTGATATTTATTCTCGTTTATGTGAGAAGATCATGTCAATATTGTGTTATATAATATTTATCCGTGTTTCTTGCATCATAGTGTAATAAACTTTCTAAAAGGTTTCATCTAATTCTTTCGAATGTTAATCTAATTATAAAAGAAATAAATATAATAGAAAATATATTAGAATAAAATATTAACAAAGATATCTATGTAAAACAGTCGAATTGTCTTATTGTCACATAGAACTGATTTCAACCATTGTTATTCATTATAAGAGTAAACCAAACTAACATAGATCATTTCTTAGTGGTTCTGTTTTAAATAATGTAGTTAGTCTTAATAATAAACATAATTTCAAACAACTCATCTGAAAAATAATACGCTTTATATAAAAACAAAAAATGAATGCAAATATTCGCAAGATATATTTCTCGATTAATAAATAATTAAATTAGAAAAATCATTTATTAGTCTTCATAATGAAATTTTTTCTCAATTTCTTTCCATTGTGGTAATTCAACAATATCTTCATATGTTTGAAAATTGACACTATCTTTTGATCATAATTGTTTTTCATCTTTTAAATCTCTACAGCTTGTTCAATAGTATGCATAACACGAAATAAAATTGTTGTTGGATAAAGAATCATAGAAAATTTCATTTTATGTAATTCATCTGGCGAAACCCATGGTGTGCGATCACCACCTTTGAATATATTCACACAAAGTGATGCACCTTTAAAATATCGTCCAATACGTTCGATTTGTTCTACATTTCGCGAGCTTTCAATAAATAAACCATCGGCATCCACTGGTAAATATCGTTCGCCACGGCGTAATGCTTCATCAAAATCATACATACGCTTCAATAGCATTTGTTCGAGCAATAATGAAAAATTCTGGTTCGGAACGTGCTGCTAAAGCTGCACGAATTATCGATACCATAGCATTCACTGATACAAGTTCTTTACCAAGAAAAAAAAAAGTATTCATAAAAAACAACTTGTAGAAATCTTAAGAAATTCTAAATATTGAAAATAGATCGAACCATGAAGATGATCACATCGTTTAGGTGCTTGTTGATCTTCAAAAAACAAAGCTGATGCACCAAGTGCTTCATATCCTCTAATTGTTCGTGTTACATTTTTTACATCACCATAACAATGATCAGCATCAATCATTACAGGTAATGATGAAGCTACGATAATATCATAAAAACCTGTACGTTCTTCACCAAAATGTGTTAAAGCAAGATGAGGATAAGCATCTAAACATAAGAAAAGTATACTCTTTTATGCTAATAAGAAACAAAAAAAACTAAATAATTCGATATAGAGTTATTAAGATACTTATGTCGTGCACCATTTAAAGCAAAACCACCAATTTGATAAGCTTGAAAACCTGCACGTTCTATAATTCTTGCTGTTAATGCATCATGAGCGGCTGGTAATAGTAATGAAGCATGTTTAGAAATCAATTCATTTCAATATGCTAGTTTTTTACGATCTCTAGAATCTATTCCGATACTGGAAACTATTGTTCGATATATTAATAATTGAGTATTAATATAAGAAAATTCTATACTTTAATATATGTTTAAGTATAATTAAAAATAATCAAATGAACTTTACTTGTTTTTGATAATCAAACATTTAAAAAACTGTTCCAACCAAGAATCGTTGTTAATCTACACACACTACTAATTATAACATGTATTAAAAGTATGTTTCTATTTTTTCGTTACTCTTTAATATAGTTAATTCTCTATACCGCATTAATGATTCAATGTGTCATTTCTACGACATATATACATATGTAGATTGTAAGATGAATGCATAGAATCACGTATACTTTACTAAATCTAAATCGGGATGAAAAACAAGAGAGGATATAAAAAGAAAATAATTATTTTATTCAGGTTTTAATTGTTTTGATTCTATGAATTTATCTCTAGTTGAATTTTAACATTGTCTGCAACACATGTAGTGGATATCAAAATTATTTTCAAAGACATTGACTTTAGAAAACCAAAACCCCTAGTTGTTCAACACCTTGAACGCGTAAATATAACTTTGTTTAGACTATATAATGTCATTTTCTATTATTTATAATATAGTCTGTAGTATTAGTCAGACTCATTTTATAGTAGAACACGACAAGATATCGTTAAAGAGAAAACTATTGTATTCATTTGCTTTCATCTGCTGTTTTTGAATATTTGGAAATTATACGATCGATATGTCTTTTATTAGATCGCTAATTAAGAATGTTTAAGAGTGATATTAGACTAAGTTTCAGGATCATAGATCAGTTGTTCAGTTAGTCGCTTTTTTTTCGTAATTGTCTGATGAAGTATACATCATTGTGACGTCGTATGCCGTTAAAAAAACTATCAATTGAATATACAGTGGACGGAAATTCATGTGACATTATTTTTGATATTGTACTAAACAATACTTTTATCATTCCAGTAATTAAAAAAATCACTGTGAATTTTTATTACTTTTGATTTTCAAGTTGATTGACAAAAACACTTTCACGTCCGTAAGATATTATTCTTTTCAAATGTGATTCTGGCGTACAGAATTCTTTTCCTTGTATTATTTTATGCTAGTATAACCTATAACTATTTGAATATATCAAAAAAAAACACTTGCACACAATTAAAAAAAATAAAATAATTTTTATGTCAATCTCTATTCATCGTGGTATCAATACTATTCTCAAGTCTAGCATGTCCAATATTTGTTGCAGTTTGTCCACAGTCATTTTAGTTCGGTTTTCAGAATTAGTTAAGAATTCTTCCATGGCTCGTCGATTATCGTCATTTAACGATTTCACTTGAGTTTTTCGCCAAGGCAAAATTTTTCGAAGCTGTTCACTTAAGTCATCATTATTATGAATACGAGAATTTTTATGCATAGACAACTTATTCGATGAACATGAGAGAAACAATTTAATTGAAATATTATTTAGTGACCAGAAAGCAGCACCGGTAAGAAGAATACTAAGAATAATGATTAGAAAATGTTTATTCAAACGACAATGCCACAACCATCGAGTACCGTCAACCTATAAGGAAAATAAAAACATTATAACCAAAGTCATTATGGCTATTCTTTACCTGTTTATGATTGTTCGGCACTGTGTTCTCATGAATATTGGTCGATTGCTAAACGTAAAGAAATCTTATGTTGTAAAAAATTATTCTTTGTTTATGCTATAGAATATGATCATTTAATTATTTCTGTAGATTTAAAGAGACTGAGAACGAATGATAACTGCAAGTCTTTTCCATTGTAGCCGACGGGCGTCTTTCAGCTGTATTATAGAACGTATTACTATTCTATTCATTTAATCATACTTCAGAAACAGATGTGACAATATCATTAGAATCAAATACAACAATTATATAACGTTCTATGTTATCGATTTTCAAGAACTCGAATCATCCATACGTTCTCTTATATAATAAAAGTGTTCAAGTCATAGAAAAAAATAGAAGTTAAAAATTTGAATCTATATGTCAGATTGTCATGTGTTTATTATAAAATCTTGTTTTTCATTAATTGTATTTCTTAATCAATTCAATGTGACCAAACGTCGGTATGCTCAGGTGAAGAAATGTGGACCATTTACGGCTGCAATCTTTAGTATTTTTCGTCAAATACACTTTTGCTCTGACTAGTGAGAAGTGGGACGAAGCATGTTTGGGACCCGATGATCCCAGTCAAAAACATTTTCGTTTCTGGTTTCTTGCTTAGTAATCCATGTATTAGTAAAACATGCAATATCATTTTCTGCCAATGCTAATAAACTCCAGATATCTTGCGTGACCTCTAATGTCATCCCACCTGGAGATTCATTACCTTTTTTCATTCAATAATACTTCGTCTATTCTGCATGTTTATGTGATCAACAACTATGTTATTTAAGAAAAAAAATAAGATCACATAAGTTGTAAAAAATATTACATTTATCACAAGTTTTACACGACCATAAACAGATATCACTTCTAATGTAAAAGCGCTGATTCTGGTTCTGGCGGAATCATTTTGCCCATATCTAATTCTGACACTATCGTTCTTAACTAGAAAACTATGGTGATAACTTACATTACAATTATTGGTATCTTCCAATAAGGGATCTGTCTTTAATACTAATAATTCTTGGTTAATCGACTCGATTGGGGCCATATATGGTAAACATGTTTCTTCAGGCGTTCTTTCGATTGTCGTTTTATAGGCAAGATCTGAAGATGACAATGAAGGTAACATATCATCAACATTGAAATATTGGATGTTAGATGTGCGCGAATATGAAAGAGACTCTAGAAGTCCGTTGGTCACTTTCTCCGATGAACTTATAGAAGAATCATTGATGTTTCTTGTTGATTGTGAAATATTTTTCATTTCATTAATTTTTTTCGTCGACAAAACGAGCAAATCTAATGCAGATATCGACGTATTTATTACACCATTGAAGGAATGTATAGAAGAAGGAAGTTGAATATCTTTTTCTACCATATTTACTAATATTGTTTGTGGTAGAGTTTCATCAGATTTGCTAAGACTTCTAGTATGTTGTCGATCGGAGAAGGAAGACGAATTGAGAGAAACATCAGTACCACTATCACTGTTTTTAAATGCATCGTCTACAACAACATCCTCATAAAGTGCCAATCCTTTTTCGTATTCACTCATTGCTTCTTTTAATTCACCTTTGGCTTTGTAGACTGCAGCTATATTCAAATGGCTATCGGCTACACTAAGTGCATCAGCAATTCGTTCGAATATTTCCATTGACTTGCGATGATATCGAAGACTTTCATCATATTCGCCTTTCTCCTTGGTAACATCTCCCAATTCAACATAACATTTTGCCAGTATTCGCTCATCTTCAATAGCTTTTAGATTTTTCAACATTTACCTTTTAATGTATGACGTTACCGTGTAATCAAAGTGGTTCGTTCTATATTTTTCAGTTAATCGAGCTTCATACAGACGCGAATGAGTTTTTTTTTAATAGAAGAGGCACCGTCAAAAAAAAAGAAGAAAAGCGGAGAATAATTTAGGATGACGGTAGACGTGAAAATAATTTTTTTTCTTTTGCCGTCAAATAACTCTGACCGTAACAGACGACTGAAGAAAAAAAGAGAAGAGAAACCAGAAAGAAAAGAAAAGAAAGGGATCGGAAGCAAAACAAGAATTGCGAGGTAAAGAAAAAAAACACGCAATCATGTCGTAATTATCAATGACTCGTCTTGATTTGTATCTTGCGAATGATACTAAAGGATTTATAACCATTTCATGAGAAAAGTCTTCAAATCTTTACTTATTCTCTTTAAAAAATGATTTAATCATGCAGACTGATATAAAACACTAAATAATCATTTCTTTTTATCTTTTTTTGTTTTGATTAATTTTAAAAAGACTTTTCGGTGAATTCGTGTTGTGTATACTTCGTTTTTAATCCTTTTTGTTTTTTTATAATTCATGCTGCACATTATTTTTGTATCTGAGATTGCCTTACACAGAGAAATCGATCCATGTATTGACAAAATTTCTTTTTTAAATCAATTTCTATAATTACCTATTGTCAACAGATCATAGAGTGCACATCATGATGTTTTGCTTTATTGATCCTAGGCAAAAATGTTCCTCTTCAGTATACTTTGTGTAGACATACATGAAGTTGAAATATAGCAAACACAGAAGTAAATTATTGTGTACTCTGCCTTGATAGTGGAGAATACTTCAAAAATATTAATTGATGTAAACCATTAAACTGGTGATAAATTGGTTCATTGATAGTCTGTCGAGGACTAAACAATCAGATTCGTGGTGAATAATCTTCGAGTGGAAGAAAAATACATTTATTTAGCAGGATTGACATGTTGCTTCGTCGGTACTAGTATGTTTTTATTTTTCCTCATGGTGTTCTCTCTCAGCAATCAGTCTTATATTGTTCTTTTTCTTTTCTTCATATTGCCTGTGTTGCTTCATTCTTTGATTTTATTTTTTAAAATTCTGTTCATTACTAGTATCTACATTCCTTGAGTTTAATTGTGCTTTCTTGTAGGATCGACATGGTCATAGGACTCAAGAATGCTGAAACAACGAATATATAAAAATAGAAGAAAGAACTTAGTTGAAGATCGTTTTCTTGTTTGTTTATGAATTCAGATTGTTCTTAATGAACTCATTTGTTGAGATGTATCCTTTGTTTAATATTTACTAATTGATTGAAAATGTTAAAAATTCTCTTATTCCATTGTGATAAATAAATGAAAAACATTTTTTTCTTTTCAATGCGATAAATGTTGGAAATAATATTATGTCCATATGTTCGTTATTCTTGAGATGTCTGTTCTGTTTCGTCTAAAGACTAATGAAAGTTAAATGATGTATATACTTGTCGTTAAGAGAAGAAGAAAGAAAAACAGTCGGAGCTTATAACGAACAAAGCTAAACAAACATTATATGTAAATACATAATTATTTTGCCTGAATTTATTATTGTAGAAAGAAAAAGTGGTTTTTACATGTATAAGTGTTCTAGATTGATGCCAATGCACTAGTATTCAATAAATTTTGATATCTAATCAATCGACTACTCAATATCAGAAGTCAATGCAATCTTATTATAAGACTCATTAGTTAAATGATTTGGTGCTTGAACTAGAGTTATTAAACCGGCCTGAAAAGTTTCTCATCAAAAAATCTTCTCAATCATAACGCTAGATCATTAATGGTGTTGATATGAATACAATGATGTTTGTGTAAAAAGCAAATATGAAGAATACTTAAAGAGTTGAGAATATAATTGATTAGTAATTAAATGAATGTTTTTTTTCTATCGTATTGTTCGATGTTAATAAAGCAGATTAAACATATCGTAATGTAAAGAGTGGATAAAAAGCGTTTTCCAGGTGGATAACAATATGATTTCAAATAACATCAAGAAGTTTGGTGTCAATTCTCGGAAATTTCTAAATTTTTCTACCATATGAGCACAGATAAGTTCTTTTTATAAAGAAATTTAAACTAGATCTCATTTAAAATGATGAATATTACAAAGTACTGGATACCTGACCTGGACATATTGGAAAATTGTCAAAAATTAAACTGAAGAAAACTACTATATCAGAGATGGAACACAATCATTATGATGGAGAAACTCAAAAAAAAAAACATTTTTCATATAGTTTGGCCAACGTGGAGACAAACACTGATCGATTTCATATTCTTTTATGTTCGTATCGGTCTCATCTTTCTGCTGTTAAAACGCTGATAGTCGTTCTACTAATTATTGACAAAACATTCTTACCCACCCTACATTATTCTACTAGCTGTTTTGGATGTCGGTCTAAATCTTATTGACAGTATGACAATTTACTTCAGCATTACTTTATTGAAAAGTAGTATTCTCGTTTAGAAAATATTAGTAAACATTCATGCACAAGAAGAAAAGATCTTTTCGTCTACGTTCTATCGCCACCAACCAAAATCGATTCCTCCGTTATTTCTTGAATTCCAAGAAAAGTTTCGTTGATCTAGCAGAAATAATTCCTGTGCTCTTGCTTCAAATGGACTATCAGCTGAAGCATAGCGAGCTCGTACATCCATGCCTCTGTAGGATGCTTGCTTCATTTGCGTTGCGATATTGTCCAGACCACCTCGGCCATGTTCGTCCAAGCGTCGATTGACATCAAGAGACATGCCAGAGTTAGCATATTCCATTAATATAAGATGCAAAGATGAAGTTTTAATACGGTTATACTGGGCAACAACATGTCATATTTGAATGAAATATTCTTGAATTGCCGGTCTTCCCACACCATACGTTGCCACCAATTAATATACTCCTAAAAATTAATTAATAAGTAAGATTAGCAATAACGCGAAGTGTTATTTACCTGGACCACTATGTGCATTAGTCCCATTGTAATATTGCGAACGGCCCTGAGTCAGTATGTCGGAGGTTCCGAATCTTGGTTGTTCAAATAAACCAAATCGTCTGTCTCTGGAACCATCTATATTAAGGACTTGTGGCATTGTATAACGTTGATCACGTTCACCATCGTTTCTTGTTACCCATCCAATATTGCTAAAAGTTCGTGACATTGATAATTGTAGTTATATAGTTGTAAACTATTGTAATGGTATCTCCAGCATTGTATTCGCAATAAGACGCATCCTTATATAGATGTAGTAGGGTTGGGTTTTTCCAACTGTTAAATGACACAATAACTTTGTAATTTTTTCTTCTTTTCTCTTTATCAAAATTTTTTTCTTATTCTGATTGCCTATCATGATTTGCATATGGCAGCATTTTTGTAATTGCCATCACCTTCAGCAACGTCAGAATGGACGAATGTAAAACTTTCTATGCTGCAATTATTTGTTTTAAGTTGCTTGATCAAACGCATAGTGAAGAACAAGGCAAGGAAGAAAATATCGAGGAATCGCAAAATAGAAAAAGAACAGCCAATACTCTCACATGCATCCCGAGCAGAAAAATATTTCATAGATTGCTCTTGTGGTTCTTCATTCAGGGACTAATACATTCTGATTGTCGAGCAATTCAAAAAATTCGAATTTGCAGTATTAATATTGTTATTCAAATATACATCTCTGAACGAAGAAATCATGTGGTGAGAAAGTCTAGTAAATCATGATCACGTCCTTGACTTTACTCAAGGATCTCTTTAGTTGGTTTTGACTTTATACCTGTTTTACATATGTTCACGCTATTTTCAGTTTATGATCTCTGTATATTTATAATTCTGTGCTATTTGTGCTTCTATACTTTTACATGTGTCTAAAAGGCTCATATTTTCATTGTTATTATTAACTATTGATGAGTCTCATTGACAACAAACTATATAACCATGGTAATTTCTATGAGTAAACTGAGATAAGATAAATTTCATGAAATCGATTCAAATGTTTTATATGAGACGTCAGAAATGTTTACATTCGAACTAATCTCTTCATGATGAGTTAATTAATTGTTTTCATTTGCAATATCTTTTGATTTTCTATCAACCATATATGTCTTTGCCGAGCCATACTTAAATAGATGTAAGACTATTATCGACGATACATTTTCTTCGTTGTCTTGCAAGCGATTTGATCATGTCAAAGAACGAAGAATAGGAATATTTGCCTTGGTTAAGCGATGATCAATTCGACCAGACATTATCGAACTAAAACTAATCATTCTTGATTCGAAATCATCTTAAAACAACATGCAGAGTGTTCGAACTTGCGACGTCGATTTTACCTTATAGGTTACACCAATAGCAGGGTAAGACAGAGCTAAGTTACAAAAATGTTTACATGGTAGGTTGTAAAGTCGATTGTGCCATAAGATATTATATTATTCTATGTCAAATCGAACTTCTACCATTAGTTATCTTGTAAAAAATTGCCTCAATAAATCGCTCACTAAAGTTCGTGTAAAAGTTGATAGGAAAGGGTCAATTACAATCATCTGTGCTCAAGTTTGTTCGTTTGACATCAGGATTTTCAATATATCGTGAAGAGCCCGAGATTTACATCGTCATGCGAAAAATTAAATAATTTTGGTTATTAGTATGGCACTATTAAACTTGGTATACCTTCAGTCAATTCATCCTGAAGAGGACAATCGGTGATAACTCAAGTATGCGTAACTCGAAGCAGATTATTAAAAATATGCAATAAGCTCTTCTATACTTTCAATGAATAGCAGGTGTATTCTTTGAGTGTGGGTATAACGAATAAGGACCCGACACCCTCACACCCTTTTCACAACCACCTATTTCATTCACATCATTATATAGACTCTATCTTTAAAAAACTCCAGAATGTCTTCTATCTTTATTCAACGATAATTGAGAAAAAAATAATAAAAGGAAAAACACAGAAAGAACATTCTGT